AAAACCAGGTAGGTCATGTACTAGGCACCCCTTGTCTAATTTTTCATCTTATTCCAGCTTGTCATCCTCTTTTGCTGCTTTTACCTCTCATTTATCTAATATCAAGATTCTGAAGAATATATATAAATCTCTAAAAGTTCCAAAGTGGAAGGAAGTTGTTTTCGAGGAGGTGAAAGTTCTTGAAAAGAAAGAAACCTAGAGTGTCATGACTTTACTAGTAGGAAAAAGAACTATTGGGGTCTAAGTGGTTATTTATAGTGAAATACAACTCTGATGGATTCGTCAAAAGGTACAAAGATTGTTTGGTTTCTAAAAGATTTACTCAAACCTATGGCATATATCACTTAGTTACTTTTTCTCCTATTGTAAAACTCAACACTGTTAGAATTCTCTTATCCTTTGCTGCTAACTTAGATTGGCCCCTTCACCAGCTAGATGTAAGAAATGCTTTTTCTTTCAATGGTGATTTAGAGGAAGAATTGTATATGGATTATCATCCAGACTTTGAAGAAAAAATTGGGTCACAAATTTGCAAACTATTAAAGTCTTTGTATGAAATAAAACAACTCCTAAGAACTTCGTTTGAAACTTTTACTTAGCCAGTGAAGAAATATGGATACACCCATGGACAAACAGATCGTACCTTACTCACAAATTCAATTCAAAATGAGATGATAATTATTCTAATGGTCAACACTAATGATATTGTTCTTCAGGTGATGATGTGGCAAAAATGGAAAGATTAAAGAAAAACTTAGCAAAAGAATTTGAAATCAAAGACTTAGGTTCACTAAAAAAAATTCTTTGCATGGAATTAGCAAGATCAAAGAAAAGAAAGCTTGTTTCTCAAAGAAAATATGTTCTTGATCTCCTACAAGAGACAAGTATGAGTGGTTGTTTAACACTCCAAAATTTGATTAATCTACTTAATCAAATTAATCGTGTTTTTATTTAATTATTTAGTATGTGGTTCACTTTTAATCAAATATATTATGAGCTTTATGTGTATGTGGTGTATGGTGGGGGTATAGTGAGAGTATTAATGAGTAGATAAAATGATCAAATAATTATAAATTATTAGAATGAATAATTTTTTTTCATTAAAATGAATAAAAATACATGTTTTGGGTGGAAAATAAGAACTAATAAGAAATAAGGGAAGTGGTGAGAAATATAAGAGGAGTTGGGCCTAAGCGTTATTATTGAAAGATTAAATTAGGTTTTTGGAGATAAAAAGGGGTTAGTGGAGCTTTTGAGAGAAACTACGTAAAGTTTGAGCTTTTTGAGAAAAAGGAGGCTAGGGATTGAAGAGGGAAGAACTCAAACCACCAACATTAATCAAATTCAGAATTCCTGTTAGGAATTTGAGGTAGGGGTGGGGGGAGAAGGGCTTATATATGGGTGTTTTATAGGAAAGGGTAGAATAAGGACCTTCACGCTCTTTAAGAATTGTGTGAAAATTATTATGAATTGTTGCTATTGAAAGATAATCTGAAAATTGATGATTGATTATGTTGTTGTCAGATTTTTGGAACTAAATTCATATGTGTGAAATTTTGTTTTGTGCCTATATGATATATGCCACTGTTGAGGTTTTGAAGTTTTGAAATATAAACATGAATTTCATGAAATTGATGAATAAATTACGTAATTATGTAGTTTACTATGTTATTATGATGTTATTATATGTGGTATATATTTCTAGATGTTCCTGAGATGATTGGGAGGCCAAAATTGGAGCTTCCAACAAAAATCCATGGTCAATTCGTGTTTTTGCATTTTGGTGGAGGGTGACGGGCATAACCCAAATGACAGGTTACCCGTCATGCACCTTAAGACGCTGAGGGGGGTCAGAGCTATGAGGGGGAAACTGTCATGGTCTCCAGGCTTGGTTTTAAAGTCGGTCGTCATTAGGATGAGAGTTTAGGGGGTGTTTTAACATGACGACGTGTGTCACTCTGGTGACAGATTACCTATCATGTTGTCAGAAAGGGAAATTTTGTCCCATTTTGCGTATGTCGAGATACCGGTTCAGAATTTTGATGTTGATTCGTAGTTGGGTCAATGATTGGCTACTATTTGGCTGTGTTGGTGTTATTAATTAATTATTACAAGTTTAATTAATCATGAATCACTTAAATGTTGTTGTTTACATGGTGTAGCCATTGTATGAAATGCATATGATGTTGTTTTGTGATGTTATATGATGTGAAAATGAATTGTATTGTTATGAGATGCATGATTTATATGGTGATTAATTATGTATTGTTTGCATGATGATAAATAGTTCAGAATGTGGGAATATTTGTATGCTTGTATGTATTGTTGTTATGATTATTGGGTAGTAGTTCAGAAGGGAGAATTACTATCATGTGTCAATGCATATTGTTTATGGTCAGAAGGGAAGTCGTAGGAATTGTTATTGTTGTTGCATTGATTTGTATGGACATGCATCATTGTGTCGTGTCGTTGAAAGAGACATGTTCACTAGTTCAGAAGGGGAGACTAGCGGCTTGTCCCAAGCTCAGAAGGGGGATCATTGGTTCAGAAGGAGGGACCTGGTTCCTGAGAGAACCAAATGTTGATTTAGTACCACATGCATAGCGTCACATTGTGTCGCGAGTTTCATTGTATATATGTGTATATTTTTATGGAATGAGTGTGAGATTGAGATAATGTTGGTTGTGTATTGAATGTATGATGTGTTATGTGTTTGTATACCCTTGCATTCTTTACATTGTTTTATATCGAAGTTTATTTCTCACCCCTTTTTCTTAATGTTGTCCACCATGGACATCTTGCAGATAATCATGAGTAAAGTTGTTGTGTGTGTGAAAGATGGCTTGTTGGAGCTATTCTTAATTTATCTATCGTTTTTGCAATTTAGTTATTTTAATGCTTTGATCTTGTAACATTGGAAACAAGACATTTTGCTATGTTTTGAGTTAATGCCGACTTATGTGGTTTTAAAGTTAAATACTTTATTTATGAAGTTTAATTAAAGCTATTATGTTATGATTTTCTACTGCGTGTTGTCAAATACTTTGATGAGTTTTGGGTTGATTGTCATGGCGACACTTTAAATTGTCGAGTAATTCTTTTTATATAAGTTTCGTGATTTAGGGTGTTACAGTTGTAAGCCTACTGACAGTCATGTGAACCCAAATACTAAACATTGAAAGAAGAGAGACATCTTAGTTGACACTGGAGAATATTAAATGTTAGTTTGAAAACTGATATATCTAGCTCATTCTCCACTACAAGAAAATTGGCAAATTGCGACCGTTCATTTTGACATATTACGACGGTTTTAACCGTCGCAATTTGTAAGTTACGACGGTTTCAACCCCGTCGCAGAAACGTGCGTCGCGAGGCTGTATTGCGACGGTTGTGAAAACTGTCGTACAAACCGTCGTTATTTTTACGACGGGTAGCTAACTGTCGTAATCTCCATATTGTGACGGTTTTCAACCGTCGTAATTATATTTACTAATTTTAAGTATTATTTATTTTCACGACGGATAGCTAACTGTTGTAATCTCCATATTGTGACGATTTTCAACCGTCATAATTATATTTACTAATTCTAAATATTATTTATACTAGTTACGATGGTTTAAACCGTCCTAATTTTATCTATAGAATTTTTTTTATAATATTCTATTTTTATTTAAATTACTTTCATCTCATTTTTTTATAATAGTTTTTTTAATTTAAACTATTATTGTCTTTTGATAATATATCAAATATATAAAGACTCACGTATATCAAATATATAAAGACTCACATATAACAAATATATAAATTTATATAACTTAAAAAACAATTGATATTTCATTATAACTTAAAGTATTATATTTTCTACTAAATATATACTTATGAATATCTAAATGATCAAATGTCATAATCTATAACTTGATATATACAATATAATTAATATAACTGTACAACCTATGATGATCCAAGATATTCTGCCCAATTTTCCACACCAAATGATGATCCAAGATTTTCTACCGATGGCTGTAGAATTCTTTGGTATGACTTTGCCTTAGAGGATAGACATGAACATCTACAAAAGCTTAAAAATTACTTCCAATTAGCACCAATAAAGAAAATCACTTGTGGTCTTCTAGTATCATCATGAGCCCTTCATAATCAGTTTTGTAGTCTTCTAGTTGCTGCTAATCTTTTGACTTCATCAACACGCTCTTCCAAAAGCAAAACTTCCTCATGTTTGTACAAGGAGGCTGAACAGTCCTGCTCCTAGGAGCTTTCTTTTCTGATTCTTGGGAAGGTTTCAAGCGTTTTGATGCTCGACCAATTGGAATAGGATTCTTCAATATATATTCCATATCGTATATACTTGAATCAAAATTGGTTATAGCATTTGCACCTTTGTACTTTAGGGCTGCAATGTCGTAGGCCTCTGCAGCTTCGTCTTCTTCGGTTTCTATAAACATACAAGAATCAAGAATATTCAACTTTAAATTCAGAATATTGAACTTCAAATACGGTGTGATAATGTTGATTCAGAACTACTAATGTCCTGAGTGTGTGAATTAAAGGCATCTCAAAACATATATGGATAAAAATCTATGAGATTGGTTAAAATATTAGCAGAATAAGCTAATAGTGTTATTCTGGAGTATCAGGCATTTCTCTAAATCCAATTATATTGTATAAAATAGAAAATTATTAATATCAGAAGATGAAAAAGCTTACCAAATGTTCCCAAGTATCTATCTTTATTTTCAGCCACTCGACCAATTCTTGCTTGCCATTTACCACTTTGGCGGTGTCTGAAGGATCCAAACTAAAAAAACATTAGAGATACAAGAGAATGATAATCACTTGATAGTATATGGGGGTTTCAAATTTCAAACCTTGTAACACCTCTATATTTTGAAGTCCCCCTAGAAAAATCATTGTTTTTCCTGCAAGCAAAGAGAAGGTACAGTTTTAGGCAAGGAACTTAATTATAGTGTTAAATAATTAGTGGGTTAGCTTATACAATCCTTTTTCAGAGAAGTAATATATTCTCGCTTTCCTTCATGTTTCATCTCCTCTATTTCCTTTGCATAATCGGAAACCTGAGATATTAGAGAACACAAATATGCTAAGTGATGCAAGTTTCAATATAGGAATGTTCAAAATCATAAATTCCCTTTGCTACTTCTTAATTGTACAAGATCTAAACCATTAAATGTGCGTATGTATTTTGTAATTGTTACTGTAATAAATAAAAGACTATAAGTAGAATTATACAAATTTCAGACCAACTCTAGTTGCACTTCAGTTATTATATGCCGAAAATAGATCTAAACTGAATAATAAAAGTGATTGTTACAGGAAAGTTTATGGTAGATGTTTGTCCCCAGTACTTAAATGCTGCCAAATCATAAGCCCTTGCTGCATTTTCTTCACTGTCATAGCCACCTATGGAAAATCATAACCATTAGTTTAGCATGTACTAATTAACCATATCACTCTTTAGGATATTTAGTAGAAACATTTCTCACCCAAATACACTGTGACAGGAGCCAAGAATTGCACCGAGTCATTCCATGTCAAAGAAAAAACAAGAAATTCAGCTTAGTGTCCCTAGTATTTCATGTTCAAATCAAAATAATTAGTAAAGAAGTTCAAAGTAAAACAAGAGAGATAGAGAAAAGAACCTTGACGCCCTTTCCTGACACGACCCTCTAGCTTACTATTGTGATCCCATAGATTCGCTTCAAATCTACCCGTCCATCTGTGCCTATACAACAACAAAAAAACTTGCATTGGAAACTAAATTCTGGCCTCAGGCCAGAAACAAAAAACAATCAAAAATCCTTTCGATGATTTCTTTTAAGAACTTTTGAAAAAGCTTATTGGGATGTTTTTGTAACATCTTTTTCAAAAGGCAACTAAACACAGCATGATGTCAAAATGTTATCTTGAATAAAAGTACTTCAAGTTGCCATGACAGTAGTGTCTTTCTTACAACAACCAAGATCTTGGTTGAGTCATCCCACAAGATTCACTTCCAAATCTATATCCCTTTAAATAATACATTCCTTAGAATACAAGGAACTGTTCTAATGGATGCTTGTAACTCAAGTTGGCCACCCAATACTGTCACAATACAGGACAGTAATGGTCAAGTTGATTTCAAGAAATACAGTAATGTATTTGGACCATTGATTTATACAATAATCTATCCATGATTTTTACTAACTTTAAAAATAATTGTTTCTACTTTATTATTAGAACCGCCGCTACGTAAATAGGTTGCACTGCCCTCCTTCATATTCCTAGATTCTACCAATTCCTAAACCAAAAAATCATCAGCTAAATCCATTTGGGTCCTATATGTATATTAATCTATTTCAATAGACTCCCTTGAACTGTGGCATGGTTTAACATCCGGCGAGCCTGATGACAACATCGAAAAGGTCTTCGAAGACATTATAACATGGCTAGACAAACATCCTAGCAGTAACAATGTTGCATTCGAGTCTTTGAATCCAACAACTGAGACTTATAACTACGACATTCACACTTTCTGGTGTTTGTCTGGAGATTTGTGTTTTGGCTGCTTAATAAGTTCTTCTATCTTAAGTTTCTAATTAGATTTACAATTTCAGCTTCTCATTATGGAAGAAAATTCTAAAAGGAATGCCTTGATTGTTTCTCAGATACACATACTTTACAAAATTCTTTAGGAGGCGGAATAATGTGTAGTAGAAAAGTTGAATATAAGATTCTTCTATTTTAAAATTATAGTAAATATAAGTTTGCAGGTAATTAATATTGAAAGCAGATAATTGGGACCACAATAAGAGGAAGCAGACAAGTTATAAAAGGACATGCACAACACAATATTGAACTACACAACAATGAAAATATTATATATAAAAATAAACATATTTCGAATCTATATAGGTAAAAGGGAACACTTGAAAGCCATATCTATCTGGTCCCTTTCATTTGACATCATCATCATTAGAATTACAGTTACATCTTATAATACTTGTTACTATATGCCATGCAAATACATCATAGTTATGTCATCAATTCGAAATCTAAGTGATGTTAAATTAGGTTAACTTTTTATAGGACCTGTCACCACAAAACCAAACCACGTGGTCGTTCATATTTGTGACTTGATGGTTTATTTTAAGTTCAACACATGGGGTAATGCAGACTTCAATTATTTTTCTAACTCCATTAGATTGGAGCAGATTGAAACAAACTGAATTCAAACACATTCAATTTTGTTAGGTATTGTAAGAGATGAATATCAATGAGTGAGTGAGTGAATTAGAGATTCATTTATAATATTAATGCTCTGGCTATATTTAATGGCCAATCAAATCCTAGGCAGCAGTTAGAAACACTATCCAAACTATCCAAACTATACCGGTTAGAAACACTATCACAACTCAGGCAGCAGAATAGAGGAAAAACTATACTAGTTAGAAAACCTATCCAAACTAAAATTCAAATCAATTCCATCTTCAATTTAACAACAACGTTTCATCAATACTCCATCAAACATTCAAAGAAACTGAACCACCATACATGAATAATCATGAAAACATACCTAATCTGCAGAGTTCAAAGCCTTTACCACCATGCATGTGCATTACCAATAAAAGCATACTACTGCTATTTATTCAAATTAACACTTCAACTATAACATTCAATTATAAATGTGAGAAACCTATATCAACCAAGGAGAGAGAGAGAGAGAGAGAGAGAGAGAGAGAGAGAGAGAGAGAGAGAGAGAGAGAGAGAGAGAGAGAGAGAGAGAGAGAGAGAGAGAGAGAGAGTGTATGCATACGTATAGATTTCAACGAATATTTCTGGCACTATTCCAACCAAGGATCTAATCATGTAAGGCCCGTACTTGACATTTGTTGCCACAACATAATAGTTGTAGATCATGTAGGGGAATGGAGAAATCCTGATTAAGGCAATAGCTTGAAACTGATGAAACCAACTTCCACCGCCAGCAGACTTTAGACTAGAAGCTTTCTTTGGATACTTCTCTAATCATCCCTGCATAGAATCATGAAACATCATATCCAAATTACTACATGTGAGTCAAAAACCACATACAGAATCTCTCAAAGGCACGGGACATACTTCAATTTTATGATGGAAGATTGAGCCAATGATAAAAGGGAGTGAAACACCAATAGCTACTGCAGGTATTATTAGTAAGAACCCAAATCCATAACCAAAAAGGGCAGTCACACCATAGCTTGGCCTGCATAAAATTTCATCTAGTTTTTAGCGCATAAGGAGCAAATGAGGGTTGACAAAAGGGGAAAATAGAAAGCAACTCAGTAATTAATATGATAGTTGAACAATATCATGATTGACATGTAAACACAATTCACAATTCAAACTTTGTGTATAAATTAAATTAACATTCATCCTACACCAATTACCAAACAGTATCATAAACAATACTTTTCCTACTCAACAGTGGTAGAAAGTTCGATATTAAAATCCATAAACCTGGTTAAATAGTTTGAGCTTAAGGCAGAACGATCAGTTGATAACTCAAGTGATAGCACATTGACTCGGTTCTAATGCTTTAAAATGTCTATAGAGTTCTTTCAAATTTCTCAAATTGTTCAAGAAATCAAATTTAAAATAGTCCGGTAATAAGTAAAAATCATATAGTCGTACAAAATACAATAAAAATGTCTCTTGAAAACCAAATGCTTTAATTGATCTCAAATTATAAGTAACAACAATATCAAAAAGGATGGCTGCAAATACAAAATATAGACATAAGAAACGACAACAAGCAAACCTTAAAATACCAAAAGAACCGAGTTTTCACAAGCTCTTGAAGAGATGGGTGCAACACTTCCTTGTTAAGATGGTCTACAGTTTCATAATCAGAACAACAATCCTAGAGGCTCATGAAAGTCTTGAAGCATTATAAATTTAAGTACAATAGCATCATGTATCATAGCAAATTAAACAAATTAAGTGGCCAGTTAAAAATTGTTCGTGTAAATAACAAAAATGCAAGACTTACCAAAAGGCTGATGAAAGTCTTGTCCCCATCTTTAAGGCATATTTCAAAACAACATCTTGGCTGTTAATTGAAAGATAAACACATAGAAACATTGTCACTTGGTTATGATGTCAGTTCCACCACCAATGCAACCTCCGCGCATACTTGTAATCACAGGTTTACGACATCATTCCAGAGCAGAAATCAAACCTTGCATTTCCAGGATCTTGCAATTCAAAACGAGTCAATTCTTAATGGTCATACTTAAAATCCAAATAAAACATAATTAAATTATATACAATAAGAGGCAACAGAGAAGCATGTAACATGTTTTATTAATCACAAGATATCAAAGAAACAAGCAGTTACAATCAACACTAGAGAAGAGAAATATTATATGGTTGAGCATTAAGAACGTTTTAACTGTTGCTTTCTAATCAAATTTGAATTACTAACAACATTAACAACTTGCAGAGTACTGGTTGTGTCTCACCTAATTATACTGCTGAGCAATTTGACATTATTGAAAGGATGAGGTCCATACTGATTGACTGGCTTATTGAGGTATATATTCAATGTTCCTTTTTAATCACTGCCTTAAAAATGCCAATAGCTTGCCTCATGGATTAAACTTAACCCTTAAGTATAAACTAGAGCACTCTCTGTGAGTCACAAACAAAGTAGAAGAGACACTATTTAGTACTTATTTAACATGAATTTTAAAATAACAATATAGAAATAGGTTATGGCACTAATTGTGTAAATTTTCTACAGACATTTCTAATCATATTTCCCAAGACAAAGTAGCAGACATTATTTAGTATTTATTTAGCATAATAATCATTCCAATTTCATAGAACACACACCAGAGAAAAAGCAATTATCAATTCCAAGTTCTAAAATCAATAAACAAATAGTTAAACAACACACAAGCCGAATCTTACAACGATAAAGGAAGTATCAACCTATCACTTCAAGTTCCTCCAATATGCTTTTTACTTGAGTATCATCAGTAACCTAACTGAAAACACATACAAACAACCACCTCAATAAAAACTCAACACTCCCAATCAGTTTCAGTATATCAGAAAATAAATAAATATAAACAAATTTAAAAAAATTGAAAATAAGCTTCGATTTCAAACCGAGTCGAGCCACACATGTTAAAGCATTAATGGCATTTCTACCTCCTTGCACCTTGGAGGAGGTTATTCGGATCTTATCATCCGGTTTCAGATATCCATCCACGATAGCTAAGAAATCAACGTCGTCATTCCGCCCTGGATCTGCACACAAATAAACCTATGAAACTAACTACACGCGCACACAGAGAGAGTGGAAGAAATATATAGAGAAGAGGAAATGAACGATGATTTGGTTTTGAAGGAATTGAAAAAGAAGTTGGGATCGTAACCTAAATCTAGAAATTAATGTTCGTTGTTCGCCATTGTTGAGAGGTGGGTTATGGTTTGGCTGTGTCCAGATTTAATAAAAATTAAATTACGAAAATAGTAAAATGATAATTTAATAAAAAATTAAATTACGAAAAACATACTTATATATTACTAATGATTTTATATAAATTATTTTTAAAAATTAATTTTTTATAATTTTACCTTTTGTGTTTTAAAATTTATTATAATTGTTATGAATTTATGATTAAGATTGTTAGATGACTAATAGAATATATATGAGCTTGATTACAAAAAAGTAATACTAATATTATATTACTGTGAATCTTGTTGTAAATTACGATAAAATTTAATATCAATTTGTGAGGCAAAGAACAATAACAACCAAAATTAATTTTAATAAAAGTTAACTATTTATATAATAAAACTGAAAATATTTTACTATTACTTTAGACAAAAATATTAAGCTACATTATCATAATAATTATAATAATTATTTATTAAATTAATTAATAAAATTGAAAAGGTTAGAAAATAAAAATGAAAGAAAAAAGTGGAAAATTAAAGGAATAAAAAAATAGTGATTATGATTGGCTAAAGTAATTGCGACGGTTCGCCTTAACTGTCGTGAGTGTGGAAAGACGACGGTTCTTTGGTAACTGTCGCATTATTTTATACAAAATGGCTAAAAAATTTGCGACGGTTGGCTCAAACCGTCGTGAGAACTGTCGCATTCTAGGAATAAGGACGGTTTTTTGATAACTGTCGCATAAAATCTACGACAGTTGATCCTAACTGTCGTGACAACCGTCGCAATCCATAAATAAGGACGGTTTTGTGATAACTGTCCCAACTCAAGTGTCGTAAATCTCTTTTTTTCTTGTAGTGCTCGTCTTAGCATTACTTTCTCAGTTAGTGTTGCTAGTCAATTTATGTATTCTCCATATGAAGAACATCTTGAAGTTGTATACAAAATTTTGGGATACTTGAAAACAACTTTTAAAAAGGGTTATTCTTTAAGAAGAGAAGTGGTAAAAACGTGACAATATTCATTAATGCAAATTAGACAGATCTATTACAGATAGAAAGTTAACTTCAAGATATTTCGCACATGTATGTGGTGAGGGGACCTAGTAATGTGAAGAAGCAAAAAAAAAACAAGGACTGGCTTCCAGAAGTAGTGTTAAAGTTGAGTTTTAAGCAATGACTCAAGGGATTTGTGAAGGTATGTGGATTATTTGAGTTTTGAAGGAACTTAAGATAATGGTAAATGTAACACCCCACTTCCCAAAATTAAATAAAATACAATTATTTCAAATAAACATCAGAGTTCCTCCCCCAAAAGGGGGATATCACATTCATAAAATTCAAAAGAACACTTCATTAGATGTTTTCACATTAAAGCAGCGGAAATAATCCTTAACTCAACATTTTCGGCCATCCGCCAAATACATGAACTCAATCATTAATAAAATTCACCAACATATGATACGTCACAGGAATAAAATAAGTTCAACATAAAAACAAATAAACGCCCAAGTCCCGTGCTACGTATCAAAGCATCCTAAGACTCGATTCGCACACCACTATCCAAGCTAGCTAAGTACCTGGATTATCTGTACTCCCGAAGAAGCACAGACCACAACAACAACAAAGGGGTGAGAAAACATGATCAAAATTATCGGTAATAAGATACATGAATAAAAGGCAGTAAATATACAAATCATCACCCCACCAACATCAATCACGACCTACTGTCCAATCATAAAATACAACACCCAATAATGCAAATATGCAACTCAACACCATGCATGCGGTACCGACTCATTGGTTCGTTCAATTGAACCCCGGATAGATCACATACACCCCTCCTTGGCAATGATCTATCCCCACCATTCTCAACAAAGGAGTACAGATGATCGCATACACTCCTCCTGAGCAACGATTTCATCCCACCAAAACATCATGATATGCACGACACCAAATACACAACAAGTAACTCAAGCACGCTACGTGCACACGATCCTACTGATCACATTACCATACACAACCAATAAATTCAAGCATACTAAGTACACACGATCCTCCTGATCACATCACCATACATCATATATATATATATATATATATATATATATATATATATATATATATATATATATATATATATATATATATATATATATATATATATATATATATATATATATATATATATATATATATATATATATATATATATATATATATATATATATATATATATATATATATATATATATATATATATATATATATATATATATATATATATATATATATATATATATATATATTATACACCAATTAATCATATTAATTAAATTAAATATTATGGGAATTCATATTCTAACACCCGGTATACACTCTTCACCACCAAACATCATCCCTATATCCATCATGACCAAAGGGATCCTACAAAACATCAACATTGGATGGAACTACAAAATAAAACAAGCTCTGTCACGCTCGCCACCCTGCTCGCTTAGCGAGGCTCTAGCGAACGTTCGCTACCTGCTCGCCTAGCGAATATGCTAGCGAAGGCAGACAGTGGCTACTGGAAGTGTTCTCTACCTAGCTCGCCCAGCGAATGCTCGCTACCTGCTCGCCTAGCAAAGGTGCTAGCGAGCGCCTGCAATTTCACAAAACCCTCACTGTCCAGAAATGTCACTTTGATTAATTCCAAACCTGTCATTCTTCATCCATCTTCTACCTATGATTACTACAACTATTACACACTACTCTAATCAATTGTTCCTCAAATTTTCTCTTCAGAATCAAAACTCATGGTCATTACCAAAACCACAGAAGTTACACATAACCCCACCAAAACCACAACTCTACTACATCACGCAGAAACTCACTAAAATCACAACAATATATGCACAACTTCATCAAGAGCAGCAACAATCATAAACATAACAATATACTCATCTTGTTCATCAAATCCCTGTGGGGTTAAGGAATCCCCTATACCCAATTCATGTAAAATACCAATCCCAATCAGTTTCTCCCCTCTTACCTCGATTAATTGCTTCGATTGGTGAAGAATCCCCAAGAATCTGACAGCCTTAGCCTTCTTCCTCTTCCTATTTGTTCTTTCTCCTTAACCTTGCTCTAAAACTGTTTATCGTGTTCTTTCCTCTTCTCCCCCAAAACTTCTCTAATACCCCTTAAATCCTTATTTTACTTATTCCAATAATAATAATAACAATAATAATAATAATAATATTACTATTAATTATTAAATTATCACCACCATTAATCATATTATGTTAATATTAAACTCCATAGTTATTAAATAATCCCCATAACTTAAGGGTATCCACCAACACTCTCAGACACACCCCCACATAAGGACACACCAAAATAAAATAACACCAAAAAGACTAAATAATTAAAATGGGTGGTACAACTCTCCCCCACTTTAATTATTTTCGTCCTCGAAAATTACCTGATGGAAACAATTCCGGATACGCTTCCCGCATCCTGCTTTCCAATTCCCATGTCACACTGCCTCCTGCAGCACCTCCCCAAACCATTTTCACCAAAGATATCTCCTTCCCTCGGAGTTGTTTCATCTTACGATCTTCGATCCTCAACGACATCATCTCAACGGTAAGATTCTCCCAGACTTGAACTTCATCTCTCTGAATCACATG